CATGATCGGCTGCCTGATCTACCCCGACGGCTGGGACTCGGCCGAGGTGAAGCGCATGTGCGGGGACAAGACGGACAAGTACACGCTGGGGGCCTGCACCGTGCGCTGGGCGTACATCCTCTGCATCATCGGCATCCTCGACGCCCTCATCCTCTCCTTCCTGGCGTTCGTTCTAGGGAACCGGCAGGACAACCTCCTCCCATCTGATTTTAAAGTGGAAAATAAAGGTAAACGGGGCTAGGGTGGAAGACAGATCCCCTAGGAAGACTGCGTATCGGCTCCAAGATCGTTAACTGGCGATCGTCCTAGGCGTTGCGCAGCGAGAGCCTACGGCAGTGGCTGAGGATGCAGCAGTCCCCATTCGAACAGATATTCAACGTTTTGATACGTTAAAAACAACTAAATGTTAAAATACTTTATCGATAAAGTTTTTTCCCCCCTACTGCATGAGCAAAAAGAGATTGCTGCACTTAGTGAATGTGTATATATATATATGTATGCATGCTGGGGATTTTCCTCCTGTTTCAAAATGCCTTTTTTAAATTTCCCCTCTCCGCTTGGGAACAAGCCTGGAGAACGCTCCTGCACCTTCCCGATTACATTCCCACAGCCCACTAATAAAATAATTATCTTTTGTTTTACAGAAGAAGGCGCCGAATGATAGCGCTGAGCACCCCGGTAAGTGACGGCCGCAGAACTGGTTTCAGCAGCTCTGCCGGGCACGCGCGGCGCCAGCGTTGCGTGCAGAGGCTGCCCGAGGGACTGACAGCCGCCCGCTGGTTCTGGTGCCATGTTCGCGTTGGGTTTATTTGTAGTGAGACGGGACACCTTTGCTTTTGCCTCCCGCCAAGTGACAACAAAAAGCTGAAAAGCTGAAGTCATGCCCCATTTGAGGCTGGGCCACCTATTCTTTCTGCTCCCAGGGACACCTAGAGCTCTTCTTCAGTCAGCTCCAGGGAACTTAACCCTTTTCTTTAAAATGACTTTTGCAGGAGCTTTGAACTTACCAACTTCTGCGGATTTTCTGCCGCTGTTCTCCTCACCTGAGGGGCCGCTCCGCTCCCAGCTCCCAGTTTACCTGATGGGAAAAGCCCAGCTGAACTGGACGCAGGATGTGGAGTCCATCAGCAATCCTGGGGAAAAGGGGAGGGAAGGGGGTATAATTTACTTCTTCTCGGGGTTTGTACACCTTCTTTCAAGAAAATCATTTCTGAATCAAAAAACAACCAACCAACCAACCAGTGTTTTCAATTCCATGCCAGTCTCCTTGGGGCTGGGGAAATCCTGTACCACGTTCCCGGGTGTCCCTGTGCACATGTTTGAGGGAAAAAAAGGAAAAACCACACCTGAATCAGCTTCTGTCATGTCACCTTTCAAAACTCCACATGAGCGGAGAAAAGGCTACTTAACTAGCAGAAATTAGCAACCCCCTGTGTTGTCTTAAAAGCGAAGTACTACTACAATTCAGTTTAATTCTCACTCTAGGCAACAGTAAAAGAAACGTCACCCCCTAAGGAGGGTGCTTTTCTGGCAAAAATCTGCTGGGCTCCAGCACACCGGGTAACAGCGCTTTCCAACCGCTGCAGATGGTGCCAGTCGGCACCGACTCCCTGCACAGGGGAACCTGCTGCTAATCCCGTTCAGCCACCATTGCGTGCCACAGCCGCCAGGCACCTGCTGCAGCCTCCAGCACAGCCCCTGTCTGCACCGCCCAAGGCCGCACGGCAGCTCTTCCAGCTCTGGGACGGGACCCTCACCTGGTCAGAGCCCCAAATCAACCTGTATTATCGTTTTCATTTCTACCCCAGTATAGTTGCATTAGCTCTTTTTGCAGGCAATTCGAGTCAGTTCTAACAAGAGTCTTCTGATTTCATGCTTCCCTCTGACAAAGGGCTTGGGAAGGTTTTAAGACTTCTTGCCAGGGAAGACAGCGGAAATGAGTTGGGACAGGGGAAACATTTTAGAACGGTAAATTCCAGCAGAGTTGTCCCACTCTTTACTACTTTTCCCCATTAAAAATGGGTCACGATACCAGTAACAGACCCCTTGCCTATGCCACCTCACTGTCTCTCATCCTAGAAAAACAAAATGAAGTGCTGACTAGCAGACACGGAAAATCCGACCGACTGCACAGCAGCTCTGAAAGCTCAGGTTTGCAGAGGGAACATATGAGGAACGGGGCTCAGGTATTAAATAATCCATTTATTGTATTGCTTTTACAAAGAAAAAAAAGAAGACAAAGCACCCAAGTAGAAAGAATAAAAATGTATTTTCCTTCAGGTTTTAGACTGACACAGCAAGTACAAATCCTTTAGTGTGAGCACTTTACGGCAATCAGGAAATTTAACAAACCCCAAGTGAACAAGCACAAGGTACAAGACTGAATCCTGACAGGCGATCCTGCGGGTCTCCAACTCCCAAGCTGGCTCTAGCCTTGGCCATCTCGGTAAAAAAAGTGTCCTCCTCCAGTCAAGGTGGCAGAGGGCAGGGAAGGACCGGAAGAAGCTCTCAGCATCGAAGTGCGCAGACCCCTCCTAGAAACAATTCTCTATCGGGCCAGTCTGAAGTACACAGGACCGAGTGAGCTTTCAAGACGACAACAGAAGTTGCTTGCCCTGCCAATATATCTTCACAGTATTTAGACAGTAGGTATGCTAGAATCCAGTTCTGTCTGCAGTCCCTTTGTAAGGGATACGGAAGTGACGCTGAACTGGGAAAACTCCAGATGAAGGGGAGGGGAGGGAGTCAAAGCTGCAGTTTGAAACTCTTTCGGTACGTTTCCGTCCTTTAATTTTAGATGACACGCATAGAGAACCTGACCTATCCCTAAAAGAGCATGCGGCACGAATTGCATTAATAAGCCGAATCAGACACTGGACTGCAGAAATGCTTTTCAAGTGGATTAAATGACACCAAGTTTTATGAATGAACAATTCTCATGAACCAGGACTTCAAACACAAGTAGAGAAGTGACTCGTAACAGTCATCTTGGCCGCTTTGGCAACACATCGCCTCAGAGAGCATCTGCTTGGCCTCCGGTATGTTCCTGCAGTGCTTCTATCCTTTGAGAACTACCATGAATCCAAAGGCCCATTTGGTCCAGGGTGAGGAAGCGCCTCTGAAGTCTCAACACTGCCAAATCTGGCTTTAAGAGTAGGATGCACTGAATCTGTAATAAGGATGGACAAGTCTAGAAGAAACCATCATAGAACTAGCAAATGCCACAATGATTTAACTTTTAATTAAAATCAACCCATTTACTTATTACATCCAACCCCTTTCTGAGGGGTTTATACAGTAAATTGACAGAACATTTTGTTTAGGGTCGCTCTAGGAACAGCTTCTAGTCTGGTATCTACATGGAAAAGTCGATCAGTTTTCTCCTACCTATGTTAGCTCTCTTTGTGTTAACGCCCCAGAAAGTGAAAGGCAATCCCATTCAGGGAAGTTATTTCTGAAGGCCAGCACCTGAAGCAAGTTAACGCAAAAGAAACCTTTACATGGGGCTTTCAAGTGTTGAGTTTCCAAGTCAAGGGCTATAGCGTGGCTGTGATTCAGATGCTGCCACCCTTCATTTGGGAAAAAGTGAATGGTCAAAAATTAAGAGCCGGAGTACACTGCATCAGTGAAAGCCAGTCTCTCACTGATGCAGCAACTGCCTCAAGCAAGGCAAAAAAGTGCCAGTAAGGGATTTAAAAAAAAAAAGAAAGAAAGAAAGAAAAAAGACCTTACAGCTCACTAAAACATTGGAAGAGTTGCCTGCAACAAGGCTACCTCTCTGCAGCCAAAGGGTGCACCCATCTGTATGCTGAAGATTGTGCGTTTAGTCAGTTCCAGCTTTTGCTTATTTTCCTTGTCACCTTTTAGTCACAGGCTCAGGCATTTGAAAACACACAGTAAGTGTTGCTGAACTTAGAAACTATTCTGACTATCTGGGCACAGGGAGGGGGAAAAAGTAAAAGGGCAGGGGCACGCTGGGGGAAGAAATAAATGATACTAAAACCTAGACTTAAATAGCTCATTTCGAAAAGATTTAGGCAGCTAAAAAAAACTAAAGAAAAAATTACGTGGCTGGAAAGTAAAGAATACAGTAGACACCTAGAAAATGATGGAGGATTTCGAGGTCTTTGCTCTACATGGAATTAATACCACCTCGGTGCCCTCTGTTACTTCTCACCCCATTGCCAGCTACTGGATAAACAGCGGGACATTGACTCCTGAGTCGGTGCAATAAGGATGAGTTCAGATCTTCACGTCCCCCTCACGAACAAAGGACAGTTGAAATTTAGTTAAGGGAGCTATCTCAGCACAGATGAGCTCACATCTACCACACATGCTGCATAACGGTGAGGAGACTCAGGAAAAACTTCATATTCAATTAGTCTTTGGCAAAGCCCTATCAAGGCAAAACACAGATGATGCCCACTGGCTGAGGAGAGTCCCCATTGAGTCACACAAGCAAACTCAGCAGAACATGTTAGGTTTATCTAAAATCTTGGAAGCCTTGAAGGAAGAACTTCACACTGAAAATGAACAAGGGAAAAAAAATGGGTCTGGGAAGGGGCAGCTGGGTGTATGTATGCTATGCTGTAAACCAGAGTGTAGTGCTGTGGCATTGGGTTGAAGCCTCTATGAGCTAAGCCAGGGGTGCCTGAGACACTCCGCTGCTGTAGCTCGTTTCTCCGGGATCAGCTCCAACATAGGTAATAAGAAGTCTGTGAATGCAGCTGCCTCATCTTGGGACCACTCGTATTTTTCCACCAGAACTTCAAAAAGGCCCCAGGGCTTCAGTTTAGTGATGTGCTTCAGATCACCTGGAAACCAAGACAGACAGGTTAAGCGCAAATCATGGCAGCAGAGTGGCTGACCAAAACAGGCCAAGCAGCTAACATGACAGGCAGAGTTCAGAAACTACTCTGAACGTTTGAGCGCAGGGAAGGTAAAGGCAAAGAGTCATGGGGAACGCTGAAGGAAGAAGTGATACTAAAACCTAGGTTTAAATAGCTAATTTAAAAAGATTTAAGTAGCTAAAACTGAAGAAAAATTTGACTGGAAGGCAAAGAATATAGTAGACACCTAGAAAATGATGAAGGATTTCCAGTTCTTCACCCTACATGGAACTACCACCACCAGCCTGGGACAGTATAGTTTAGAAACAATTCAGATAATCTTTCCTATCTGCTTTTGCAGGCCGTTTTAGAAACGTAATCCTTCAAGGCTCCCTTCTCCCTCCTGCTATTTCAGATCCAACACCAGCATGTATTGTTTAGCTCTATCAACCATCAATTATACAAGCTGACATGACAGGTAGACACATAGGAATAGGTGCAGGAAGTGATACACTATTATGAAAAAAGGGGGTTGGGTTTTTTTAGTATTAAACTAGGTGAAAATTTTGTTCTTGAGACGTAATACATTTCTGGTGTACTTAGGGTTTTAAGATTAGCAACACAGCAAAACGCGGTCGATTTCCTGTTCGGGGCAGAAGGCTTCTGTGCTGAAAACCAGACTCTGGGTTTAGCAGCCTGAACGGAGAAGACAGCTGTCTGCTATGTACGGGGCCTCTTCTCTCAGACTAGGTTGAAGGGCCTGCAACAGCTAACGTCTTTATAATCCGAAGCAACGTGGCTCAGGATGCAAGGTACTGTTTAAGAGATTGTCACGCTAGAAATAGAATAAAGTTGTCTTCTGAAGACTTCAAAGGCAAGTAAACACCTCTAGCTGACAAAGCTCAGCTATCTGAAGCCATCTCAAGTCTGAGGAGCTGCCTACAGAACTGTTCTTCAACCTGCTGCATTTGATCTACACCGAGATGTCAAGCATGGGGACGTAGTATATTTTTAGCAGACGAGAACGCTTTACATTTAGCTGCAGCTTTGCTGAAAAAGCCTTTCATTAAACAGAGGGAAGATTTAAAGACGTGCCTTTGTTGAGATCTATTTTTAATTAGTATTTTTAGCAAGGCACTCTTGTGTATGAGGGGGTGGAGGGAAAGGTGACATTTGCTTTGTTTCCTTTTACCTTTTTTGGTGAAAAACTCCTTGGAATATTTTCCTGCCAAAATGAGCTTGCGAGGTATTTTCCCCAGAAGTTCTATGATCAATGCAATGTGATCTGTATATTTTCAAAAGAAAAGACAGCATGACACATCCCTATAAGACATCCCCCCTCCACACCCCAGTTTCCTTTTGTGATGGGAGGACAAAGATACTTAATCTCCTTTGCAAATTACTTTTGAGAGCCATGAGTAAGAAGAGCTATGCACAATATAGGTCAGCATCCCTTCCATCCCAGTGTGCTATTACGCTTCACCATAGTCTGAGAGGTATCACTATGAGCCTCACAAACATGGCTCAGACGCACTGGGAAAAACAGAACCTGAAATCAGGTTACAACAGACAAGGAAAAAGACAACACATGGTGGGGGCGGGAGGAAGGAAGAGGTAAAGGCCACTTGTAGGAACTCAATCGTCTGAGAAGCAAGACAGAAAGGACAGCGGTAAAAGGAATGGTAAACACCAAAATAAAAACATGAACCTTTACTGCATAGCATCTCACCGCAGACCCTTAAGCACACTTGTTCTCTAACATCACTAATTTAGGTGAACATCTTTTTGCAAATAACCTTTGCATTGCAGACTTGTAAGAGAAGGTTCTCATCCTGAAGAAGCCTCCGTTGTATCTCATGTCCCAAATTAAGAAGAAAGACTTAAACAAACGCACCTTCATCCCGTGAGTAATCTTCTCCAGAATGAGGCTCAAACAGATAGTCTCCTGTTGCTAATTCAAAGGCCTAAGTAAACAGAAAGAGTATGTTTTAACACTTTAATGCACGTGCATATTGCTAGAAGTACTGCAGGTTGATTCTGCACACCTCTGCGTGCCAGAAGCAAAGTGGTGGGAAGAGTAACCTGTAAAAACTCTAATACACAACTACCACCTGAACATGTTCAATTCCTTTGTCGCATTTAAAAACTTCAGAGTCAGAACTGTGATGAGTTCTGGATCACAGCTAAATGGAGAGTTCATTTTACACAATTGCAAACTTAAAATATTACGAAGGCTTTTCACATGCTTAGTCCCTTTTACCCCTCAACAGCCTTTTGCAAAACTCGATGCCATGTCCTAACTTTACAGGGTTTTTTTTTTAAACTAAGATTCTTCCCCCTAAAAGCTTCAGATGTTAAAAAGACATTTTTCAACACAGTTCATCTCAGACCATTCATTCCCAGATGTGAAAGCACGTTCTAAGTGAGAAAAATTTGACATTCCTTTCTCAGCTTCCTGCTCCTACATTCCATGACACATTTTCCCTTTAAAATTTGTTATGTATTCACTTTTCCTCAAAACAGTACCTATGACCTTCTGTATTCTTAATTTCCTTTGTGGACTGCTGTTGCCAAAGTATGGAATTAGGCACTCAAGAGCCACCACTGCATAATTTTGACCACAAGCTCTGCAGAGACAACATGACCCTACTGCATTCCGTTTTTACCACGTTCATCAAAATCACAGCTTGTTTTCCGAGACAGTAAAAATGAGTTCATTCAATATTTTCCAAGCTTAAAATAGAAAACAAGTTTTAATTTGTAGAAAATACAGAAAGGGGACACCAGAGACACACATGGAGCAATTGACTAGACCGAGGGGGTTTTCTTTAATCACCATATTCTACATTTGCTAGCTATTATGGGGAACAGCTTCAGCCTCATCTCAGCATTATGCAGATATTATAAAGCGATTCCAAACAAGGCAGAGAATGCATGGGACTGAAGTGTAAAATTATACTGAAGACATCTATGAAACAGTGGTAGAGGCAGAGGATAGACTCTTTACAAGAAAGACCTTCTTGTCTTCAGAATCGCGTATGTCTCTTGCTTTTCCATGAAGCATGACGTCAAAGTACAGCTACGCTCGAAATATGACACTGTTGTACAACAACGCCCTGACTTGCAAAGGGAAGGCTATGTGCGGCAGAAGATGGAAGAAACACTGACTTCAGTACAGAAACATGGTATTCATTCAGCAAGTCTAGAAGTCGGCTGAATACGTGTTGGTGTCTCTTGTTCCCCCTCCCCTCCTTCTTTTGGGCCAGACTCAGTTATTTATTCTGTAGTCTAGCACACCTGAGTTTCCCAGAATGCCCTGCAACAACACCTAAAAATCCTCCTCGGATTACACCACTCACCATACATGCTGTGCTCCAAATGTCAGCAGGGGTGTTATACCCCGATCCTATCAATACCTCCAAGGATCGGTATTGTCTCGTCTGGATGTCTTCAGTGAAGTGCTTGTGCTAAACAGAATAAATGGTTTATTAAATGGGCAGAGAGCTTTTAAAGGACAAGAATCAATAACCTGGAAGGCCAGAGCTGATCAAAGCTCATTCCCATTACGCTTCATCTGAATTTTACATCTCAAACAATACTTGTAGGAATATAAAGGAAATATTTAAATGCTCTACCTAAGACGCTTTTCCTTTTGCCTGATGAATTTTGCGTTTGCAACGGTCTAAGATCTCAAGCATTTTACCATTAATAAAAAAAAAGGAAGAATCTATTCTATTTGAAACGTCAAACATTTAAAAGCAGCGCAGCACAAACATCAAGAGAATAAAACAATGTATGAGTCTTTCATGTGCTTATGAATCCACTGAAACAGGTTGACGAGCTAATAAACTACAGAACTAGCATGTCACAGCAACTGTTTTCAACTGTCTCCTTCTCCAGGGGAGCTATGGATGCTGCAGAAGTTTCATGTATACAGATCGGGGGATATCACACAGGACACTGGCCACATAGAAACAACCTAGTCACCAAAGAGGCACCCAGAACACAGGCTGAACTGCTATGTTAGTAGCACATTTCTTTCTTTGTTCTCCTCCTCCTGCTCCTTTTTCTTAACCTAGTTTCAAATTATCCCTACTTTCACAAGCAGGTATAAAATAGATTCTATTTTACAGATTCTTTTCAGTCCTGGCCTACTGGGAATGAATTAGCAGGTTTAAGCATGCAACGTGAAAAGACGTTAAACTTACCACCCAGCAGGCATTTCCTAGGTCAGCTATCTTCACTTTAAGCTTATCTGCATTCTTGGGCTCAAGGGGATTAAGAAGGAAATTCCCAGCAGTCGATTTTCCTAAAGGCAATGTGCACAACAGCAGATTACAACTACATGGGCAGCGTCACCATCTGTCATCCAAATCCTATAGCCCTCTCCCCAACTCAGGACGGATATTGCTTACTGGTCAGAACTTTCCCTTCCCTGAAACTAGCTGTAAAAAAATCAACATCCACCTGTGCACTGTGAGCAAAAGCATTACCAACATTAAGACTCTAAAAGGCTGGTAAACACAGGAAAGAATTAGAATATTCTGCATAACATAGCCAGCACAGAGACCTCCTTATTTGTGTTGCACAGCGGGAGAACAGGCAAACGTATGCAAGAGAGTGGTAGTTTTTCATTACTCTTAGCATAGCTCTAAAGAAAATGAGTTTGTCTACACCAGGATAGGCTTTTAAAATGAGGGCACTGCCAGAAGTAAAACAAGCCTCTCAACCCATAAGAAGTCTTCCTAAATCCTTGAAGGAGAGTCCAAGCATGATAGCATCTTCTCACCACAGCCATTCACCCATGGCAGCAACACAGACAATTATTAGAGATCTAAAGTATGTAATAGGAAAAAAACTCAGTGGACGTGGTGGAGAACAAAAATGTAAGTCACTAAATTATATCCAGTTTTAGCTCTCAAGCAAGCTGAGAAACGGAGTTTTGAGAAGCAAAATATACATAGTAATCTAGTAGGGGCATCTGACTGAATAAGGTCCAAGTTACAGTAGCGTTAAGTTTCACTTGCTCCTCTTTCATGCATGAAACTCCTCAGCAGTATGCCACCAGGAAAACGCTACAGAAAACTTAAAAAAAAAAAAAAAGAAGCACAAGTGTTAGTTTCTCCCTTCCTCTCAAAGGAGATACACTTGACCAGACCCTGACGCAAAAATGCAATAATGGACAGTTTTAAAATGTTACCAATTGATACAAGTTCTTAATAGTATTTATTTAATTTTTTTTTTTTTTTAACTGCAGTGCACTACCGTGTGCCACGTTCTCCTAAACCTACAAGCCTTGCAGTATTTTTTCCTGTAACAAATTATATATAAGCAGAACTATTCAACAGCTTTCCTTACACCATATAAGCTTTGTGTGTTGGTTTGTATTTCTGGGAAAACGTTTATTCATCTTGAGTGAGGAGTTACCTTTGCTCCATGATAAGAAAGAGCTATCAGAACAGACTTAATTGTACTTATCCCATATTCTAATAACTGGTGACAATTTGCGAATTTAAGTTTCTAAATATAATGAAAATCACATAAGCAATACCTGATCTAAAGAAGGGAACGTACCTATAACGAAAAAGAAACGTGTAAGTATTTTTAAATGGGGAGTGCTTATGCAATCTACAGTTAAAACTAAGGCACAAATCCTTATCAGTTGGAAACCACCAGCAGCAGAATGACTTGGAGTAGGACTGTCAGGTTAATTACCCCGGCAGGGGGGTAAAGGCTCAAAGGGGTGGTCCTAATCCCTCCAGCCTCTAAAGCGAAGGTTTCTATTAATACTCCAATGAAGCGTTACAGTACAACTCTCCCAGATCAAGGGTGAGGGAGGGGCCTTTCTTAGAGGGCTCCTCTTGTACCTTTATTCTCTGAGGGACCATTATTTTCATTCTCATCCTCTGAAGGTATCTCTGTCCGGATGCTTTCTTGCAAATGGCTAATCTCCTGCTCGCTGAATGATTGCTCTTCACTCGACGTGGGCTGACACACCATGGAATCTTCCGAAACTAAGGGCACGAATGAGTCCGACATTGCTCCTTGAGGCCTGGTCTCCGAGTCACCATTATGCTGATTGTAATTACAACTACGGAAGCCGTCCTCCTTCTGTGTGAGAGGGTGATCACCACAGTTGTTGGCATTATGAAGGTCATCCTCAAGTCGCACAGACCCTTGATTGCCAGAGTCTGAGAAGTCCGTCATTTGTATCACTCCATTGCAATTTATTTCTGGTACACATTTTTCCACGTTGCTTTCCATCAGAATAGACTGCTCCTGAACAACAGCTTCAGCTGGAAGAGAGGGAAAACGAGAAGATTCTCAAGATAGCAAAACGTCTTAATAAAATAATGGCTAAAGTTGTTCAGGGAGACCTCAGAAACAGACTGTTCTCAAAATGTAAGAGAACACAATCATTCATTAATTCAATTTGTAATAAAAATATTCCTAGCCTCTATAGATTGGTGCAATGTAAATACATATAAGGTTAAATGATAAGAGCAACCTGTACTAAAGAGGCTCAGCGCACTCTTCTCATGCCAGCCTGAGTGAAAGAACACTGCTGCTCTCGCAATACTTCAGGTCCATACCTGTCTTTTTGCTGACACCTTCATCCGGTGGAGTAACTTTTAAAAGCATTTCCAGAGGGCTCTGAGCTTCTTCCTCCTCTTCAGGCTGTGCTTGCCCAGGGCTCGCTTCCTTCTCCATCTCCTCTATCTCTTGCATTCGTTTCTCTAACAACTCAGCTTGCCGTTTCTGCTTCTTTTTCAACTTCTTTTTCTTATTCTTTGACATTTTGTCAGCCTACACAGAAGCAAGCAGAGAAGTACCTCAAACGTTTGCTTGTGTTTCGTGTTTCAATAAGTCTGGAGTGATTCAGCTTTTCATTTATTTTAGAGCCAAGGAAGCAGTCTGGAATGAGAACTCTGGAGACAGTTGTTCTCCCAAACACACAGCAGTCTTTTAGAGCTGTTGTCTGTCGCCGTATCAGGGCATCTTTGTCCTAACCTATCTACAGCACTCTTCAAACAAGGACTCCAGACAACACCACCAAAACACTGCCAGTGCTGGCGATATATTTGAGACAGAACTACTCACAACCCCAAGACAGCATTGAACCTGATAAGCACGCCCAAGGATAAACATGAACACATTGCACTTTTCCTTCTGATATGACTGATATGCTGGCTCTCTCTCAAAGCTGACTGCACTATTAAAGAATGGGGGAAGATAGTAAATAGATACATACTTACAGATGAAAGCTATTTCACTTACTGGTTTTGGCTGTGGTGCAGTGCTCACTGAAAGGGAAAGAAAAAGGAAATAAACATACTAACTTGCTTTCTATTAAAAAGTGCAACTGTGCTCCTATGTAAAGGTAAGCTTTTTCCAATGTGGTCTGGTAACAAGATTTTAAAGATATCAACAGATGTTTATTTTGAAGGCTTCATTTTCCTACAAAGGCATAGCAAGAATAAAAAACCCGAGAAAAACGTGAGATGAGTACATGTGCAATTAAAATCCCAGATAGTATTTGCTTGACTGATACCAGAGACTTAAACTTCCTGTCATACAGCTTCACTTACTGCATGCATTATGCATCTTACTGAGAATATGCAAGCTGAAACATTAAAAATACCAAAGGTAAAGAGCTTCCCTGACCTAACCCAATTAAGCTATGTTATGATGGGCTCAGTTAAACGTTGGTGCTGTAAGATTATGGCAGACAGCCTTCCAGCACGCGCTGTAGTAGTTCCTGAAACCTGCGGACTGGTACAGATGGAAATTCTGAGGAGGAACATGAAGAATAAGAACTAGGAGCAAGAGAAAATTTGCTCTCTGCTCTTTACGGATGTTAGCATGTAAAGGAAACTATTTACTGTTAAACTTTCCAGACATATGCAAATTGACAGCCCTAACAAGTAAATTGTCTTGTTGAGACTTCCCCAAAACGCATTTCCAGCATCATGCAGTGAAAGAAGATAAAACTTTTATAGAAAACGTGAGAAGTGCCTCACCACATATTCCCTTAGGCACTATTTTGAGTGCAACCACATTTATGCAATCTGTTCCATAAAAGGCTAACATGCTTTTTAAATGACTGTCCTAACACTGTATGGGTGTCAGATCAACTGCGTTAAAAGCAGGTGTCAGCATTAATTCATCCTTTCTCCATTTTTCTTATACAAATGACTAGCTTCGAGCATTATCAAGTTGGAACTTATGATTAGCTTCACAATTCACAGTTTGCTTTTCCAAAGTTACTTGCAGTACTGTTCCACTGCACTTAATGCAAAGTAAGTGGGACATTCTCCCCTTGTGAGATTAGTTATGACTTTTTTAGCACCAGTTTTCAGGAGAAAAAAAAAAAAAGAGAGGAGGAAAAAAGAAAATAAAAAAAAGCACCTGCAGAGCCAGATGGTGGGGGAGCCCCAGATCTCTGCCACTCTGTTGCTTCCGCAGCCAACCTGCGAATATACTGGTCGTTAACACACAAAAGAATGTTCTCGGGTTTAATATCTGTATGAATGATCCGACACTTTGTGTGCAAATAATCCAGACCCTGAAGAACCTGCAGATGAAGAGAACAAAACCAATCATTAAAAAAAGCAAAGAATAAGCAAACTGAAAATGAAGAGAAAGGAAAAACACAAAAACTGAATTCAGTAGCTGCCCAGGATGATTAACGAACTGGAAAGATTATGTCCAAGAATATTCCAGATCAACTCTTACAATATCAGTGATTATTACTGAGTTCCAAAATATCTCGATTTGTACTCAGATTTCAACTACGAAGTTAAAACACTGTCTCTTTACCTTCATGACTTAGCTTACCACAGTGAAAACCTAATCTTAATCCCCTACAATAAAATCATGCTTTCCTTCTCTTTCTACCCTCCGATGTAGAAAGATCTTTCTCCTTAAGCAATACGATAGGGAGAACAGGTTTCTCTTGCTTTTCCCATCATTAAGCACCACGCTTACTGCAAGAGAACTTATAAAAAGAACTACTTGCACTTGTGAGGAATAAACAGGGTAAGAGGTTAAAAGCAAAGCTGGCCTCCCACTACACCAGCACGGTTTAAGTGACAGAAAAGAAATATCTGCAGCAGAAAATTTTTGCAGTAGAGAAAGGAAATACTAACCTAAAAATGATTTTTGTTGTATGAGAGGCTATACCACTGATTTTTAACTCTCATTTTCTTGGACTGGAGAAAGGCTATGAAAAAATTCTCCCTCGGTTGCGGCAAACAGCGCAGTCAGAACTGGAACGTACCTGTTTGATGATCTTTTTGACACAAGGGAGTGGAAGTCCCTGATAATTTGACTTGATGATCCATTTCAGGAGATGATGGCCTAGAACTTCAAACACCATACAGATATCTGGAGCTCAGTCAAGGAAAAAGAGCAACATCCTGATCCAATGAGCCCTGAATTCACAGGGTCGGAGAAATCTGTATTAATGGAGTGCTTCTATATTAAAGAACCCTCTCCTTTGCGACTAAGCTTAGAGCAGTGGCCTTCCTGCACAGCACCATGCTATTACACATACATCAGTATTGTTAGGCAAAACCTTTAAACATGGAGGAATATAGTTCAGAAGGATGGTGCTAAAGCAGCAGTAACAGTATCACACACCGGGTGGAAGCCAGCTGCACAAGCAACCATGCATTAGTATTTACTGCTAGCACTGAAACAGTTTCAAGCTGAGAACATAAGTTTTGGAACAGTTTAGGCTCTTGCCCCAGGCCCAAATATTAAACCCAGATCTCTCCATACCAGTGTTACCTCAAAAAATAACTAAACTTCCAGTTGATAAGTCATCCTCAGAACAATGAAGTTATTTTTTCCCCTTGCTTCTTTACCAGCAAAACAAACTTTTTACAAGCCTGGACTTCAACGGTGTTTACATTAACTTCCTTTTGTCTGCAAGGTCTGAACAGCTACCATCACTCCAGGGACATATTAAGTATTTTGCTTTTGCTTTAAAAGTCAAACTTGTAGAATTTTATTAGGTTATTTTTATTCTACATTGGCAGAAAGCATGCATGAGTGTTTCACAAGAGCGCAAGAAATACAATATCAAGTAAAAATTTACTCAACGCTAGGTTCTTATGTTAGCTCTTTTCCCTAGAGGAAATACATTATGTGACTACTGTTTTCCAAAAGCTTTAGAAAGTTTATAATCCACAGCCTGATTCAAGCAGTCTAATAATTCTCACTGAAATTAAGTTCAAGATTCTGCAAAGCAGAAATGCACACGGAAAGAAGTCCAACTTTCAAATTTTAAGGGTGCATTAAGATTTCCCATAAATGACCCCCTATTAGAACTACATGGGATTTTCAACAAAGCAAAATGCTTTAAACCTGTTAAGTGTTGGTCAAGGTAAAACGCTTCCCCAACTAGAAGATTTCCTTATTATCAAGTTACAGACTGCACGTCTTTGCTATTTTTAATTATTGATCGTAACATCTTGTAATGCTTTACTTACATACGAGTTTTATTACTAGGCTGCTTGCAAAACTGAGGGGTAGGGATAGACAGACACTCCTTCCACACAGGCAACTCAGACATCAAGCCATTCAGTGCCGATTCACAAATCAGATGCAGCCGCCCCATCTCTCATGTTAATGGCATGACTAAGCAGCACTGTCTCCACAACTTATGCATATGTCCTCAGACTTGCAGACTGAACGATCACTTCAGATCTGATTGCAGGCAGCTTCAAGGCCCACAGAGGGCAATGATTTTACAATACGTTTCCTCGGGCAGTGAAAGGGTTGCCGAGGCATCGCTCGCTAGCCCCCGGCACGACAGCCACCCAGGGCACTCCCACCTTCATGCAACTCTTTGCCTTTCTTCCACAAAAGGATACGAGAACCATTAACTCCTGAAATCTTGAAGTCATCTAATAACTGAACAACCCTCTCTTTATTTGGGTCATTTGGATCACTGTTACGGACCTGCAGAGAGAAAGAGGATTAACTCTGTGCTCCTTAAGGCAATTATGAGGTGAGACTATATTTTTGTAGTGCAGATCTGCTGCACTAATAAGTGCTGAAGTCTCTACCCAAATCCTTTGCAACTAGATGATCCGAAAGACCAAGCACATGAACTGACTACCCTAACTCCAAAAATGAATTAAATTGAAGCCCACTCTCAGGCACTCACCGATTTTAGCAACTTGATTTCATCCAGTGCTGTTTCTGTGTAGTGCTCTGCACTCTTCACCACTTTCATTGCCACAAATCTCTTCCCTCTAAGCACACACAGTAAATAAATTGGAGACCGTTAACATTTACACAAAGTTATTCTCCAGGATTATCCTAATTCTCTTGCATACAAAAGCTACTTTTTTAAAACCCAAGCATCATGGAAAAATAAGATTCAAACACTCTTCTGAAAATTGTCTTTGGGTCTCCTCCATGCATCACTGTTTTTAATTTTTCAAAAAACAAAGTAATAGGTCAGGAACTGCTGAACACAAGGAAACTCTTACTGCATAAATGGTTTGTCCTGTTAAGACTAACCCCCTTCCATATACTTGCAGGCCTGATATCAAAAGAAACTTCTGCATTAGGATAGTCATCCTATCCTAACCCATGGATTAGGTATATTTTGTGCTTTTATCTAAACACAAGCAGATACTTTCTGATCACGTTTGCGCAACTCTCGTGCACTCCTGTCAGAAACGCAAACTAAATACAGAGACTTACTGGATGTCCCAAGCTAGCCATACAGTGGAGAAGTGGCCCCATCCAAGCTTTCGGATCACATGGTATCGCCCGTTAAAGAGATCTCCTATTTTCACAAGGTGATAGCCACCTAGAGGAGAAAAAACAAGGAAAAAACCCCAAAACATACACATAACAGCGAGAAGTTTATACGTCAAGAGATCACACAAGTGCTGAAGAACAGGTACGTCAAACAAGCACCACAACCTGAGGCACATGCATTTGATGTGTTTAAATATTTAATCATATGGACAAATGCAAATGTTTCTCTAACTGGATCCTGCTAGAACAAACATACAATATATGTTGGGGGAACAGCAGTGAAGAGCCCTCCAGTTGACTGAAAAAATATTCTTTTAATATAACTGAACTAGAACGACGGACTTTCCCTCCTTTCAGCGTAGGGGATTACCACTGGAGGAGTATCTAAAGATCACTAGGCTAACAACCTGTGAAAACTGCACTCTGTGATGTTCAATAACAGATTAAGACTCTCGCAGCTAAACCTCAACACTGCTTTTGCATGCTCTGTCCCCATGAATTTAAAAAGTACTCCAACCCGAGTTTCCCTTGCTATTGCTTTTCTGACTGAAAAGCACTTTGACATTTAACATCACAGCTGAAAATTGAAGAGTTCCCTCCCTGTATTCCTAACATTTCTTAGTTGGTAACCAGGCAGGCACAGGAAAATACTATGCTTGAAATATGAAGATATGAAAAGCCAGAGAAGGATGCAAGGGAAAGGGAAGACAGAAGACGACAGAATAGAGCAAAAAGGTCTGCAATTGTTAAGGTACAATTTTTTTGACAGAACCTGGAATTATACCCTAGATTCCAGATGCTTAATATTCAACTGTGGCCAGCAAATACTCATGAAAAACATGCTTTGCCAGGGAGATTTCTCTCTCTCGATTGACTGGTTCACAGACAAAACATACATGTAATTGCTATCAATTGTTTCATTAGCTCAAGTAGAAGTCTGTTCCCTTCACTTAAAGGTTTCAGCTGCAATAGTGACAGCTGCGTAGATCGCTGATCCACACAATGGTGTTTCTTCTTCCCATTTGCTTTACAACAAACAAAATCCCGCAAATAGTTGGGTAGCATGCTAAAGCAAACCCTTTGAAGGCAAGCACTGAAGCATAAGAAACATTACAATTGAAGCTCTTCTGTGCTATATTTACTTCGCATTTTTATACACATGAACAACATGTTTGTTACACAGTTCTTCCTCTACCTTATCCAATACATACACTAAATAGTAAGCACAGAACTAGACTTATAAAGTTGACTGGAAATTGGAAGTGGGACACGCATTCAAGCTCCAGCTAATTGTTCAGTTAAGACTGTATGATCAGCATTTGTTTGTTTTTTCTTTTTAACTACAGCAAATACTTTGAAAAAAAGCCTGACCCTTTTGGTATTGAACTAGATACTCTGATACTTCCATCTGTTCTGTATCTCAGTCTCCATCTGAGAAACAAAAGGTAAGATGATATTTACAGACACACACACACAAAAATAAATTATTTAAAGCATGGATACTAAAATGATGAGCTTAAAAAAAGAATGAAAAAAGAATTCGAAAGTGATTTGAATACCTACTCGCTTTTACCATTTTCAAAACACCTATAAATCCTCTAGCACAGAGGAAAAGCTAACATCATTAAACACATGCAATAAAAACAGAGCTCTCCAACTCAGGTCTTGACTGATAAGAAAGAAACAGAGATAACCAGGGAGCATAGTTTTATCATTTGTAATTTCAAAAAAAATTTAAAATAAGCAAAGAAATTGCATATTTTCATGCCCTGTAGCAGACAGAACTTCATGGGAATCTTTAGAGTATACTGAGCAACCTGTACCTTAAACAGGCGAGTCCTCACCTTTACAGTAATCGTTTGGATCCTCCTGTTCATCATCGTCTGACCCCAGGATTTCTTCCTCTTGTTCTGGAAGATCATTCTCAGAATGAGCAGCAGGGCCCCGATGCTGAGTGTCAGGCCTGAAAGGGAACACACCGCGAGTCTCACACACGTTAGACTTCAATAGCTTACATTTTGTATGAGAGATTGCTGGTACTGGAGGAAATGCAATACTCAGCCTTCAGAAAAAAAGGACTTCCACATTTCCATGCTTTTATTCCTAAGCTAGCGTCAAGGTAGATATAAACAATTTTTCATGTACTAGTGAGAAATACAACCTAATGCGCTAGTTGCAATTTTATAGTAGAACAAAGAAAAGCCTAAATGGGACAGCGAATTAAAAGCCTACCGACCCCATTAAAATATTAGTCCCTTTGAAACCCTTCCCAGCCCTTTACTCATCACTGAGGATTTTTCTAAAGCAAATTTTAAGATGACATCGCATATAAAATCTGAAGATTTAAATCCTGATGAATGTTAAAGACTAATATCAATTAATGCTTACACCTTCAACAAAATTAAATTGATATTTTAGAACTTGCGCCCTTTGTCCTTTTCACATTGCAGGCATGAAAGGGACAGTTAACAATCCTCCTGCTTTTAACCCCTTAGAAGTCTCTCCACCACCTGATATTGCCCTTGATTTCTTCTGCTCTCACGCAGTATGCTACCTTTCCCGTTTGCCTTTTCACTGAAGGGCTCAAGTTTGTTACAGTGCTGCGCGTGTTGTGTGAACGGTGGCGAGTGGGAGCGCGCAGAGCAGATGGGCTGTAAAGCCTTCCGAGAGCCTGCGATTCAAGGCACAGAAATCGGGCACTGGGGTGGTGCATTTTTCACTCCTACATTCATAAGCAAAACCCTTAATTTTGTGTGTTTTAACTTTTCACCAAGCGTGCTACTCTAAGTTCCTGCATGTGAAGATCATGTCGGCAAAGGTCAGACTGTTGCTCTCATGCACTAAAATTACGCTCGATCCCCCTCCCCAAAATACTGATATTCTCCCCCACCCCAATCCCTTCACAGCAGCACACTGCCTACAGCCAATGACAACAGTTCATGACATAATATGAAACAGATAGCTCTGCAGGGAATTAACTTTTATTCACTTTAGGAAGCCTTACAGAGAAAGGTTTTCACAATGGTTTTGTAGAAAATGAGCATTTCAAATGAACACAGTGCCAGGCGTCCAGTTATATTAGCCAGATTTAATAGCAAAGTGCTGCAGAATATCAATATTAAGCTTTCTTTTCTTAGAAGTATGACATATTAAAAAAAAAAAAAAAAAAGCTGGAGTTGACCAGAAAGGTAGGTAACCAACAATTTATTTCTTTATACCATGATGTACAAGCACAAGATAACGTTCTTTACAATGAGCTTCTCTGACAGCGTGAATTAGCGGAAGTTTCTCGTGTTGAAACTATTGTTCCAGGAAAGCAGTAGATATAACTGATGCCTTCCAAAACTATTACAAACTCAGCTCTCCTTTTCCTCAAAGAAAGAGTTAACTGCTGAGACAACCACTGGTTGTCTTAGTGGATAAGCTAATACATATGGGCTTTTTGATGCAGTTTCTATAGCTCACAACCCAGCTGGAGTCACATGCCTCACATCATGGCCATACCGGCTAATCTTCAACTGTATGACAAAAATGTAATACTGCAATTGTCAGTAGTTACAAGCAGAAGACATGTTCAGCTTTTACCTACACATGCACTTTGCTGAGATTTTAACCCTTTAATACCTCAAAGCTGTGTAATCTTAAATAACCACAGAGCATAAAAGGAGCAATTGCCCATTCCCATCTGTAAACAGCTTCAAATTTAGTCATGATCCACCTGGAAGTGAAGTTCATTCAAGTGAAGAGCAGCTACAAAGGTCGCCCCAAGCACAACTATATCACCTGACACTTACTTTGGGTCTGCTGTCAGGTGTAGTAAGGCCTATTGATTTTAGGGTTCAAAATCAAATACAAGCAACATAGAACAGTGGTCTCAAATCACACACCAAGAGAACTGCCAGACAGTCCGTTGCACCGCTGTCAGGCTAATGGGACATTAACCAATAATCCTGTTGAGGGTTGAGGGGGGCTGGGAAGAAACTAAGGAAAAAAAAAAAATCTCAGAGGTCAGGTCAAAAAGCTACTTCAAAACTGCTGCATTTCTTAGGGAATGACTGAGCCATGAACAAACTCGAAACCATCCCCAAATTAGAGCAGGCAGCGAATGCAAGAGGAGGACACTGTCAGACCAGCTGAAGGAAAGACTGGATGCTAAGAGATATCAAATTGTACAGATAGGGTAAGGAGGACCAGAACAAAGAATTACACAGAAGGGAGAATTTAAGTCCGGTAGCCACACCTACAGCCTAAGAACCGAAGCATAATTCTCTCGGATGCCGTTTCAAGTTTTTCACTTTTGTAACTGCGCAAAACGCAGAGGATAAGAACAGATTCAGAAGGACGTTCATGCTAAGAATCACTGGGGTAGACAGAAATGGCATGCTCTTCTGCAGTCACAATGCGCTTCAATAATATGAATTGCGTGCATCCAGAAAAAGAAGTTACTGGAAGCACTGAAATTTACTGGAAGCACTGGAAAAAAAAACACACCATTCTTTCGGAAGCTGCGTGTAACCCTCCTAAGAGGGAGCCAACAAATCATGCTGTTGACAATGTTGTCTCCGACACACCCTGCAGCCTGCATCCGAGCCTGTCCTGGCGATCTGAAATGCATTCTTATGAAGCATTCTGCTTGTATATTATAGTCTATTATACCAACTAATGTAATACATAGCCATGCTCAGCTTGCATACATTTCTATGGTACTCTTTCCTTTCAAATCACCTCTAAAACACATCTCATTCCTTTGCCTTCCCGTGAAAATTCATTAGACATCATTAGATCACACCACCTTCTTCCCCCAAACTGACCATGCCAACTGCAGATAGGGAGAGAAAGAAGGGAATTAATCAGTGCAAAATACGTACTAATGCAAAAGGAAAACACTGACACATAAAACCACAATCCTCATGTCTGCATCCTTCACTCAGACAGTAGTCTGCTAACAGGCACACAGGGCTGCTAAAGAGAGCAAAAAGATCCAAACCCTATATTTAACAACAGCTGAACAGCTGTCAGTAATACTGCAAAATGCAGATACATTATATAGAAAGCCTATGAAAAGTAGTTTTAATAGTTTACACTCAAAAAAAAAAAACCCAACAGTTTTAGGGCTTTATATGTATCTTCCTCTATTCTACTTTAAAATACCTTGTTCACCTTTTACTTACGCTGTCTCAATGTCCTAATTAATCAGTAGAATTAGCTGGATTTGCAGAGTCTCTCTATAGCTACACAGTAATATTTTACTCAAAGGAGAAAAAACAACATGGAACAGCAATGCTGTAAGGCAAAAATGCAAGCTCTTTTATGGAATTCCTGTGAATCCGTATTTAGAGACCCCAAAAAGTCCTCATTCTCTCAGGAATGCCGCCAACCCACACATGCCCCCAAAAAAGAGCCTACCCTACCTGCACGAAGCACGGCCTCCCATTGATAAAGATATCCCTGAAGACAGTCCAATAGTTTTCGAAAGAGCCATTAAAAAGGAGATGGCAGATTGTTCAGGAAGCCGAGGCGCATCAACGGCAGGCTGAGGGCTGGTTCTTTTTGAACGCAGCAAAGCTTTGTGCAAGAGCACGGGAGAAAAGGGATTTGCCTCCACCACCTAGCTGCAGATGCACAGCACTGCATTGCAGGTACAGGGCCTTGCAGCAAGGCTGGGGGTTGCTCTCAGCTGATCCTTCTGCAAATTCAGTCATGTTAAGGGTTGAACGTAAATAGAGTCAGCTCATGCTCTTGATGTTTACCTGCTTCAGTCTTCCCTCTAATGAGATTAGAAATTCAGTCAGATACTTTGTTTCCTCTTCCTCAACAAGCCGGTTTTATTTGCCTATTCAATAGTCCATTAGATTGAAAGCTCCGATGAATGCAAGGTTCACAGCAATTGCTGACAGTCCAGCCCTTTTGATACAGAGATACCAGTGCAATCACAGGAGAAAAAGGGCGTTCAAAGTAAAAATGAGCCTTCTGAAGTAATTCCAAACCTCTCCGTCCAGAGTTACAAACAACCTTATCCTTTACGCCTAAAAGTGACAAAAAAAGGGGCAGAAGGGGACAAATCTTCACTGGATCTTAAAAAAAGTTAACTGAATATTCTTCACAGCAGCAGGCAATTAATATCTTCCTCCAAAGATGTACAAGAACTACCAGCCGTTTCCTCTGCGTGTTTACCCTGCTGGCTTGTTTAAGTGATAAGGGAAACAGGTCAGCAACAATGTGACGTTACCAAGTAATAATTTAAGAGATTTTCTCTGCTACTGAGAAAGTCTTGCCAGTGGAAGACACCTTGAAGCTGGCTCTGCAGTTTCAAACAAACAAGTTTAAAGAAGAATTGCATTCTTAATATATTCAGCTCACTGTATATCTGAAATATTTTCATCTTAAAAGCTCACAGAATTAAGTTTGAACATCCTTTTAATGTAGTCTAATAAGAGTTGCCAAACCTCTGCATATTAGAAGAGGTATTAAAAACAGGCAAAGTTTTCCACAACAGCCAATATTTTGCTCCACATTCACTAAATACATCACATGACACCTCTGTTCACCTCCTTTTCACGGCAGAGATGGTAATCATTATTTGCAGCAACCAAGATCTCAGTCACTCACTCCTTCCTTGCAAGGCATCCAAGGCGTTTAGAAAAAAAAAACCTTGTTTGCATTCTCTTGCCAGTTTTCCACAGAATCCCTTATCTGGTCCACACAGCAAAAATAAAGTAAAAACAACATTAAGAAGCCTTGACCACAGCGTGCATTCTTGCAGATCCACTAGCAATGGGAGGACAAGAAGAGAGACCACGACGACAACCATGCTGACCGGTTTTTCATTGCACTGTCTGCGCTCTTTAGGCGGCTTGCAGTGGAGTGACACTAGCGCTAGGCCCTTTGCTGTTCTCTGTAAAGTAGTAGTCAAGACATTAAAACAGCCAAGTCTCGGCATGAAACTTCACTGTCAAAACTCAGAACTCATTTTCTCCACCCCAATAACTTACATAAAACGCTTGACAACAGGTTTTCGGTTCTCCTATTTAAGGGCATTACGTATAAGTGACTTCTGATATTTCCTATATGAAACAGAACAGTTTTGAAGAAATATTTTTCCTTGCCCTCCAAACATCAGAAATACTATACATGCTACACATCTACTTGCTTAGGAAAGATATAAACATGGGCCCCTTCTGCCCTCAAGCAGGGAGGGTAGCATATGTTCAATCCAAGTTGCTTTTGTCACCCTTATAGAGGTGCCAAGTTTTCTGCCTATACAGACTCTCCTTATTCCTCTACCTCAGTTTTCCGTTCCCTGGATATTTGCAGATACGAATCCCATCCCATCCCAAAACCAAGGACAATTGCCTTCCTAGATGATTGTAAAGACTGTGCTGCAGGCTTCTTAATAAACACTGCCACTCCTTATTTGGGAGATCAAGTTACCCACCTAAGGCTTACATCTTCAAACAGATTTCAGTTCAGTGAACTTGAGACTAATCTAGGTCATACTGTAGGCGACACAGATAAGAGTGCTAAAACATACTCTGTGAGTCTTGCTAAAGGTAGTGTTGCTTTCCACCTTAACCATTCAGCCAGTGATTTTCATGATTGCATACCCACTGCTGCAAGATCTTGTACAAGCGTGGTTATGGCTTTCTTGCTTTTATTTGGAAAAGATAAAAAAATAAGAGTGCTAAAACATACTCTGTGAGTCTTGCTAAAGGTAGTGTTGCTTTCCACCTTAACCATTCAGCCAGTGATTTTCATGATTGCATACCCACTGCTGCAAGATCTTGTACAAGCGTGGTTATGGCTTTCTTGCTTTTATTTGGAAAAGATAAAAAAAGATTGAAGCTCCATCTGGTATGGTGAAAAGCTACTATTTAGAATTTCTCTCCTATTTTCACATCTGTGCATCGAGACAATGTCTCTTTAAGGGAAGTATGCTTGCCAGACTGCATCTCATTATTATTCCTTAGTGTGCCTGCAATTTCAAGATCATGTTAAGGCACATCTAGTCTGAAGAATGACTGCTTCTGTTGCCAGCCCCTAATGTGCCCACATGCAGGGGATCCACAGGCAAATACAGTATTCAGTAAATAACTGCTTAGATTCAAATTTGTAATATGAATTCAGGTCTGAAACTGCAGAAGTACGTTCTTGCTCACCGTGCACTTTACCCTTTCTGCTCAAGGCATATTTTTAAAGTTTGTTTTTTTTTTTTTGGGGGGGGGGAGACTTGGGAGAACTGTAAATCATATTTTGTGGGGGAGTTATGAATTTCTAATCCACATTATTTTCTAATTACATGCAAACCATTCACTCTGCCATCCTTATTTTTCTGAATAAAGAACTGGCATTTTCTGCCAGTAAGACAGAGCTGCAATACTTGCTGTTGAAAGCCAATTATTTGAGAGCTATGAATTTACAGGAATACCATTGTTGAGAACTTAGAGGACTGGAGATAGCCTAACATTTAGTTTTGAAAGAACTGAACTCAGAGGCACCAATACATACTGTTGTTTAGTAGATCAGTGGGAGTTCAATTTGAAGATAAGTCATAATGAATTTCACATGAGAATGGTACTAATGTGCAAATAATAGAGGCAATTAAGTTTCTTGCTCCCCATACCTACTCCCCCACACGAGTACTTAACAAGTTGTTTGCAGAATCGTCTGCTATTTCAGCTACACAAACTAAGGGACCTCCATGGAAACCAGCAGAGCTTTAAGTTATGTCCTGTCATTCTGAAGTCTGATAATCACATCTGTATTTGAATGAAAAATCCTGTGGGTGAGGCTTCAAGTACTGACTCTACTTTAAACATACACTTAAAATAGTTATCAAATTTGTAGCTCTGGTATTAACTACGGAAGACAAATGAGGAAAACATAATCCAAAATCTTGATCCAGGGCAAAGTTTTCAAGAAGGAAGCTGAGGAGGAACCTGAGAGCACTATCAGAAGTCCAAGGCTTTCCAAAGAAAGCACAACACTGACGTAAGCAAGACATACAATAACAAACTGAAAAGGTATCAAAAATAGTAGGACTCTTCTGCTTCCCAGAGTGCGCAGATGGAAAAATTACCAACTTCTTTGTCTCTCTCCATCAAGCAATTCTTTTGTTTTTTCCGTTAGGGAAAAGGAAGAAAGAAGTGAGGCTTCACTGCATGTCAAGAGGCTGGTCAGAGAATTACAGATAACTGTAATCCAGTTGCTTCTTGAAGATACTGAATATCACACGCATTTGGGGAAAGGGAAGGGGACTAAGACAGTGGCATTGTACCAACTCAACTCTGCTCTGGCCGATATTTCCTATATGAAACAGAACAGTTTTGAAGAAATATTTTTCCTTGCCCTCCAAACATCAGAAATACTATACATGCTACACATCTACTTGCTTAGGAAAGATATAAACATGGGCCCCTTCTGCCCTCAAGCAGGGAGGGTAGCATATGTTCAATCCAAGTTGCTTTTGTCACCCTTATAGAGGTGCCAAGTTTTCTGCCTCTACAGACTCTCCTTATTCCTCTACCTCAGTTTTCCGTTCCCTGGATATTTGCAGATACGAATCCCATCCCATCCCAAAACCAAGGACAATTGCCTTCCTAGATGATTGTAAAGACTGTGCTGCAGGCTTCTTAATAAACACTGCCACTCCTTATTTGGGAGATCAAGTTACCCACCTAAGGCTTACATCTTCAAACAGATTTCAGTTCAGTGAACTTGAGACTAATCTAGGTCATACTGTAGGCGACACAGATAAGAGTGCTAAAACATACTCTGTGAGTCTTGCTAAAGGTAGTGTTGCTTTCCACCTTAACCATTCAGCCAGTGATTTTCATGATTGCATACCCACTGCTGCAAGATCTTGTACAAGCGTGGTTATGGCTTTCTTGCTTTTATTTGGAAAAGATAAAAAAAGATTGAAGCTCCATCTGGTATGGTGAAAAGCTACTATTTAGAATTTCTCTCCTATTTTCACATCTGTGCATCGAGACAATGTCTCTTTAAGGGAAGTATGCTTGCCAGACTGCATCTCATTATTATTCCTTAGTGTGCCTGCAATTTCAAGATCATGTTAAGGCACATCTAGTCTGAAGAATGACTGCTTCTGTTGCCAGCCCCTAATGTGCCCACATGCAGGGGATCCACAGGCAAATACAGTATTCAGTAAATAACTGCTTAGATTCAAATTTGTAATATGAATTCAGGTCTGAAACTGCAGAAGTACGTTCTTGCTCACCGTGCACTTTACCCTTTCTGCTCAAGGCATATTTTTAAAGTTTTTTTTTTTTTGGGGGGGGGGGGGGGAGACTTGGGAGAACTGTAAATCATATTTTGTGGGGGAGTTATGAATTTCTAATCCACATTATTTTCTAATTACATGCAAACCATTCACTCTGCCATCCTTATTTTTCTGAATAAAGAACTGGCATTTTCTGCCAGTAAGGCAGATCTGCAATACTTGCTGTTGAAAGCCAATTATTTGAGAGCTATGAATTTACAGGAATACCATTGTTGAGAACTTAGAGGACTGGAGATAGCCTAACATTTAGTTTTGAAAGAACTGAACTCAGAGGCACCAATACATACTGTTGTTTAGTAGATCAGTGGGAGTTCAATTTGAAGATAAGTCATAATGAATTTCACATGAGAATGGTACTAATGTGCAAATAATAGAGGCAATTAAGTTTCTTGCTCCCCATACCTACTCCCCCACACGAGTACTTAACAAGTTGTTTGCAGAATCGTCTGCTATTTCAGCTACACAAACTAAGGGACCTCCATGGAAACCAGCAGAGCTTTAAGTTATGTCCTGTCATTCTGAAGTCTGATAATCACATCTGTATTTGAATGAAAAATCCTGTGGGTGAGGCTTCAAGTACTGACTCTACTTTAAACATACACTTAAAATAGTTATCAAATTTGTAGCTCTGGTATTAACTACGGAAGACAAATGAGGAAAACATAATCCAAAATCTTGATCCAGGGCAAAGTTTTCAAGAAGGAAGCTGAGGAGGAACCTGAGAGCACTATCAGAAGTCCAAGGCTTTCCAAAGAAAGCACAACACTGACGTAAGCAAGACATACAATAACAAACTGAAAAGGTATCAAAAATAGTAGGACTCTTCTGCTTCCCAGAGTGCGCAGATGGAAAAATTACCAACTTCTTTGTCTCTCTCCATCAAGCAATTCTTTTGTTTTTTCCGTTAGGGAAAAGGAAGAAAGAAGTGAGGCTTCACTGCATGTCAAGAGGCTGGTCAGAGAATTACAGATAACTGTAATCCAGTTGCTTCTTGAAGATACTGAATATCACACGCATTTGGGGAAAGGGAAGGGGACTAAGACAGTGGCATTGTACCAACTCAACTCTGCTCTGGCCCTCCCTCCAGTGGTAGGGAGAGCTTGAGGAACTATTCAAACTCCATTGAAAAAGCATCCCCCATTCACTGGAGCCCATAACAAAGGATCACATAAATTAACCAGTGCACCCAGAATCAGAATACTTCTGCCAACCTACCTTTTTCAGAACCAGTCACATACTGTAACTGTATGCCTACCGTTACCCTCACAGTTATTCACGCTTACCGCAATAACTCACTCTTCGAGGCATGAACAATTCAATAGCCCTTATTCCCCAAGCACACAGAACCGGTGGTTTCATGCACAAGTGGGCCAACTCCTTACTGAAACATAAGATAAAAGTCATCGTTGAAGCAAGACACTGGACTCGATGAAACAGTTTTTTTTAAATCAGGGCCTGCCAACGAAATACCCATTATCTGGATTTCGTACAGGCTTGTAGGCTGGTTCCAGTAATATGTTTACTTTCCTCGTGCCTGAGAAAATGAACTATAAGACAGAACCAGACAAGAAACTGAACAAATAATTCAGTTGCTATAACTGCTTTGAATTTGGATGGTTTTTAGCCTAGTTTAAGCCCTGTGTCTTAAGCTCAGCAGTATACGAAGGAGTTATTCTTCCTAGCACAAAGAGAACGGTTTGATCTTCTGAGTGTTTGCAATACACAATGCAGATTAAAAAAAACAAAACAAAAAACCACGGATCATAATTGCCAGCAAAACACTGTCGCAAGTACTTAATTCCATTATAAATTACTGGAGCCACAGGTAAAGTACATCTACATTTGTATTTTAGTTCCGACAGGAACACACTTTTGAAGCAAAATCTTGATCTTCCTCACTTACTGGGCTTTGGTTCATACAGTGTAGCAGGCATAGTTTTGTGCAAAAAATATCCATTTCCTATGTAGATTACGTGCCCCGGAATCACTGTAGCCACTAACGAATGCTCTGTCCAGACTAGAGCCAATTCAAAACAACAATCCCCTCCAAACAGTGCGTGGGGTTCTCAAACACTAAAAACCACAAACAATCCCTGCCCAACCTTTAAACTCCTGTTAGCCTGCGCTGCTTCCGAATACAGACGCTACCTTAACGCACCAAGGGATTATGACATTGCATACACAATCTGTTCTGTGCTATGGGACCTGTAAAGCAAGAAGCAGCCACCTTGTGGCCAAACAAAAGCCTAACTTGTTGAGGTACCCATCCCACCTTTCTCCTGCTAGATTCATGAAGTTCCCCATCCAACACTGCACATACCAGAACACAGAAATTCTGTTTTCAGTTCCCTTGAAGTTTTAAGATGAAATCTAGGACAAGAGCTGTTCTCAGGAAAACACTGTGTGGCTCCCCGATCTTCCTAAGGACCCGTACAAATACTATGAATAACGTTTGCTTACCAATACTGAGCTCCAGTGAGATTAGTCACTGCTTGAAACATAGAACTGCGAGATCTGTTGCATTTCTGAGAGTCAGGCAAAACTAAGTATCTGAATACACCTCACTAGACCCATCCATCTGAAGAGTTTATGGTCAAACTTACAGTAGCTTTACTATGGAACAAAAGCTTGTAATAAAAAAAAAATAAGAAAGAGAAAAAAAAATTAAGAAGAAAGAGATGGGCTTTTTGGTGCCTTTGGGAATCAACTGACTGACAGTGCTCAAGATCTGCACACCTCTCACCCATGAAGTGATAAAATTAATATATCACACACTTTCCAGATAACTTTCAGCCACAGCTATCTTTTGGCAACACAAACATTGCAGTAGCCTACATACCAAACTCTCAATGTCCTACTAACAACTTGAGCTTTGATGTGCACGTTTCCTTACAAATTCTTAATGTTAAGATGACCAAGTGGAAATTCACCTCTCTCATCTTCTAAAAATAATTTAGATTAAAGCAATTCCAACTCCCATTCCCTGCCTTTTTAATAATAATAAAAAAGGCTGAGATAACAGGAAACTAAAACAAGTGCTTCACTCAAGGCCACAAAGCAACCCAGTGACAGTCAACACTAGCACTCAGGATCTCCCTATATTTAGGCTTACTTTGTGTCCCTTCAAGCCATTCAGCTGTAACCCTCCCTGTCCTTCCTCCTCCTCAGTTCTCACCAAAACGGGAGCTGGGCCAAAAGGCGCACAGCCACATTACTCTTCCAACTCCACAACAATAGGCATAGGACAGAAGAGTAGGCTAGACAAGTAGAACTTTTCCCAGTGAAGATCTGAGACAGGCAGTCGGATGATTCTTCCGGCTTCCCAGAAGATTTGGGGTAGTTTTACTGAAGAAGACACACACAGGTTCTCACCTTCATATTACCAAGAATCTTTGCCTGCTCTCCTTCACCAAAACAGGACACTTGGATCAATGCTTTTGCTCCTCCACCAATTAAAATAAATAAGTAAATAAAACTTTAAGAGGGGTAGGAGGGAAGAAAGAGGAACAACTTGAAATTGCAGAAAGAACTTTGTTGACCATTCCATTGGGGGGAAAAAAAAAAAAAAAACACTTACACATGGAACTGTAATTAGCACTTAAGAGGGGCTTCTTTAAATAACCCATTTAGGCTGGTCTTATCTGAACCTAAATAGCAGCAATTTTAACTACTGGAAGATGAAAAACCGAGATAACTATCTAGTTTTGCACAGTCAATTTTCATTTGTTTTAACCTTTTCTCTATAAGTGTTTTTTCTCCCTGTTTTTTTTAACCAGATTGGATTGATAGCAAACCTAAAGCAGGTGGTAGCTCATTTCTAAAGTGAAAGACAATTTGGATTACTTCAAATGTCTTCAGAACATTCTTTGCAACATTATACTTACCAATAACAAGATGACTTTAAATACTTACCAGTCTTTAATTTTAAAGAGTCAGCTGTTTCATCCTTTTTTACTGTCTCTCATATAGGAAAAATTACGAGTGTATAATCCAACCAACTACCATTGAACATCAGATGTTAAATGGACGTTCCGTGTGTTTCAGGATGCAAGCTTAGGTTTTAAGAAAAGGTCTTACAAGAACCCAGTTAAGCTTGTTTTAGAAGATTTAGCTAGAACAGCTTTGCATTTAAACAGCATAAACCTTGTAGTACGGCACCTCTAAGTTAGAGGCTAATACAGGGTTCTTTTCACTATCTGACACAGAGCACAATGTACAAGCAAGTTTCTTTACTTTCTGAGGTAGGATCTAGTAAACCTATGATGCTAGAAAACAGATTTGAGGAAGAGTGCAATTTAAGAAGATAAGCACAGCATTTTACAAATAGTATGGCTCCTCACTCAAAGCAAGGTTAGCAGCAAAATCGACAGCTAACCAGCGGTGCTGGTAAGTACTGGTTCTAGTTATTTCATTAAAAAGGATTTTTAGAAAACATGCCAGAACTGAAAGTTATCATTCCACAGTTTCAGGATTCGTATAAATAACAGTCTTACCAACTGCAGCCGTGGACTCTATTGGTAGAGTCAGTATTGTTTGTCTGCAGCTGGACAGAGAAAGTAGGCAGGCATATAATGAAACAAATGATTATTCATTCAGAAATTAAGACACAGATAATACTATAGAAGAAGAGGCTCTGTAAAACTGCCCTAACGCTATCTTCAAGATATTCAGTGGTGTCTAGCAAGCCATGCAGAAATATATATACACACATCTCCTAAAGGGTTTCATTTGATCTTCCTCACCTCTCAGAACTCGTCTCAAAACGACTGAATCCTTGCTGGAGGCAATAATCGACCAGAAAATTCAAAAAAAAAAAAAACCCTCAAACTGATCTGTCAGAGGAAATGACTAAGAAAGAACTACTCTAAGTCTAAAAAAAAAAACCTATCCAGCTCCCAACCCCCCAAGCCTTAGCAAATACCTTTGATTCCTAGGCATAAGCAAGTATAAAAATCTCATAAGATATCAGAGTTTTTGCACAAAAAAAGCAGCATTTTACTGAGCATACGGGACTGGCTCTAGGATTTACACCACCTTTCACTAGAAAGGAACCCATAAGCAGCACTGAACGCAGCACTCAAAGCATTCTGTTAGAAGCCATTGCTTAATATTTACTCTAGATCTTTTAATTTTTATATCTGCATCCAAAAGCTCACCACACATAAAGACCTGCGAAATTCCTGTGGTAGGAAAGAAGCCACATAAAAGCGTTAAAGTCAGAGAAAGAAGCAAACGGCACATCGTAACGTTTTTAGGACAAGATTAAAAGGAGGAGGAGCAAAAAAAAAAAAAAAAAAAAAAAG